TGCGCACTCTCCGTCGCGTCTCGCGCGTCCTGGTACTCGCACAGCTGTTCCGCTCACGTAACACGTCGCGTGGCTGGGTCTCCTGGCGGTACTGCCGTCGTTGTCACTTCTCGCGGCTCCGTCGCGTACGTATCCGTGTCACTGCGTGGCACCGTACTTGTCGTGCGCGATGCCAGTCTTACACTGCGTCGCTGTGGTACTGGTGTCACCCCCTTCGCCGTTCTGCGTCGTTTCTTCGTCGTCATGAACACTCCGTCACTCGCGACCGTCCTGTACGTTGTTACCGCCGTTTCGTCCGTATCTGCAGTCGCCGTAGTCGTCACAGGGGCCATCCAGTTCGTGTCGTCCGGTACCTCCTGCGCCGTGTCACTCTCCGTCGCGTGCACTGTACCACTCGGGGTCCGATTGGCACTCCCAGTCGTCGTCGGCACTGACATCGCCAGCTCCTCGTCGCTGTCTCCGTGCTTGTCGTCGTGATGCTCTGTCACAGGATCCGTCTCTACCTCCTTGTCGTCGTCCGCACCGATTGTCTCTGCCATCGCGGGTAATGGTCGTCTCCCTTCTGCTGCTAACACTGCCGCTGGTGTCCGCGAGAGAGCATCGGCCACAACGTTCGTCGCACCCGGTCGGTACGCGATAGTAAACTCGTATTCTTGTAGGGTTAGTGACCATCTGTGCAACCTTCCTGCTAAATTCGGGCGCGTCATCAACCATTTAAGTGCGGAATGGTCCGTGACGATCTCAAACACACGCCCATACAAATAAGGTCGAAATAGCTTAATCGACCAGACCACCGCCAAGCGCTCGAGCTCGGTGATAGAGTAGTTCGACTTCGCTGTGCTGTTCACCTTACTAGCGAATGCAATGGGTTGCCAGTCTTTGCCCTGATCTTGCATCAGGCAGGCGCCCAAGCCAACTTTACTAGCGTCTGTCGCAAGTCGGAAAGGAAACGCGAAGTTAGGGTAGATAAGCAGTGGTTTCGTGTTCAGTGCCGCCTTCACACGTTCGAACGCGAGCTGTTGCTCCTCCGTCCATTGCCATTTGGTATCTTTCTTGAGTAGTCGAGTCATCGGGGCCATTATAGATCCGAAGGCTTCGATAAATCTCCTGTAGTAGCCACCGAGGTGTACGAACCTCTTGACCTCTACCGCGTCCTTGGGCGTCGAGAACTCCGAGACCGCCGTGATCAACCGCTCTACTGGCCGAACACCGTCGTTGCTGAGCTCGTGTCCAAGGTACTCCATCGAGCGCGCCGCAAACACGCACTTTTTGAGTTTAAGCGTGAGCCCTGGTGTCGATAGTCGCTCTAGTACAGTAGCCAATTGTACTAGATGTCTCTCGATTCCCCCTCGAGTGTATACCACAATATCATCCAGGTACACTAGACATGAAGCCACGTCAGGCCACGTAGCACTCCGTTCATCATCCGTTGAAAAGTCGAAGGCGCATTCATAAGACCAAAGGGCATGCGTTTAAATCTGTAAAGCCCTTGTTTAGTCGTAAATGCCGTCTTATCTCGATCTTCCGACGCCACTCCTATTTGCCAGTAGCCGGAGTGAAGATCCAGTGTCGTAAACAGCAACGAACCACCGAGCGCTTCCAGCGTTTCATCGATTCGGGGTAGAGGGTAGACGTCACGTTTAGTCACCTTATTCAGAGCGCGGTAGTCAATGCAAAATCTGACTTCTCCGTCCTTTTTGCGAGCAAGGACAACGGGGAAGCCCCAGGCTCCGTTGCTTCTTCAATCACTCCTGCTCCCAACATCTTAGCCACGTTGTCTTCTACAATGGCGTCTTTGGCCTGAGCTTGCCGTCATCTTTTGAGCATGATTGGCGCACTGCTTCCTGTGTCAATATGATGATGCACGTCCAGCTTCGTCACCGGTGGGCAATCGCCTCGTCACATTTCGATATGATCGTAGAAGATTTAACACTTATGCACGTTCGTGATTCTCGTCCGTTCGTATATCGGCTTCATTCTCGTTGTCCAGTGGAGTCGACGCGTCACCAAGCGCCTCCAACCATTCGTCTAGCCGTTCATGCCCCAGTTCGCCGTTCAGCTTGAGTACGTTCAGGTCCGCGTCAAGCGGTAGCCACTTGCCTAACTCTTTCTTACTCGGCAGCTTCGTCTTGTCATCGGGACCAGATAGGGGTTCGGAGCAGTCGCCCACGGCTGCCCGATGTTATGCATACCCTGCGCCACGTTGTCGATTGGGTCATCAAGAGTTCTCGGCTTCGGTCGCTGCTTTACTAGCTGCCTCGTAGTCTTATCTAGGCTGCGGTAAAACTGTGCCAACAAGACCCGTTCACTAATCCGGTTTTGTCCAGTGAGATCCCGTAGGCCAGCCGCGAAGTCGGCGTAGGTCTCTCTCGGCATCATTCTTCGTCGACTCACTCGCCATTCTGCTGCAGACTTGTCAGGTCGCTCGCCGTACCGACGCTGCAGCGACGTCTTCAACTTCGTCCATGTGCGCTCCGTCACTGACAACTCCTTATCCATCTGAACCCATCACCTCGCGGCGTTGTCCTGAAGCTTGTTGCCAAGGATGTAGTACAACTTGGCGTCCGTCCAATCGCCTCGACCGGAAACCCGTGCACCTTCCAGAGCCAAGTCGACCTTCGCAATCCAAGTGAAGACTGACACCGTCGGAGAAGGCTTGAACGGCGCCAGCTCCAGGTCCTTGATACTCTTCTTGCGTCGTCGGTGTCGTGGTGGGCTTGCGTGTGCCGCCACTCGCCGGACTACCGCGTTGTCGTCCACGTCGTTGACGTCCATCATCACTTTGGTCGTCTTCGCTGCTACTCTCGCTGCTGGTACTGTCGTCGCTGTCGGTGCCGAATCTTCTCCGTCCCCCGCGTTCGTTGCTGCGCCCTCCGTTACTGTCATCACTCTCGTCGCTGCTATTGCTGGGTGATGGAGGCCTGCGCGGCATCCTTGTTCCAGTTGCAACCCGAACTCGTCCATCGCCCCCCGCCGCTTGGACTACTCGTGCTGCTGGCGGTGAGGGTGATCGCCGTGCCGGCGCCAACTGCTGTACTATCGTCGTCGCTGACCCCTGCGCGGGAGCTGCTGATCGTTGTACTTGTGACACTGGCGCCACGTGCGTCGTCTCCATGGCCCCGACTTGTGATGCGAGCCGTGCCATTGTCATAACCAGTTGTTGCATCGCTGTTACCAGTGCCGCTGCGTCCGACACTGGCACTGCTGCATCACCAACGTATCCGTCCGTGTTCGTCGCACGTCGGCTGCTTCCGGTTCCCGTGGCACGTCGTCTTCATTGTCATGCGCTTTCATTCGCTTCGTCAGACTCGTCGTTTCTTGCTTGCCGCCGGACACCGTCCGCAGAGTCCATTGTCGCCTGTTCCATTGGCGCCGCTGGTCGCTGTCTCTCCGAGGCCGCCTGTCGTCGTGCTGGCGCTCCTGTACCCGTTGCTGAGTCCGAGGACACCATAACCATCGTCGGCTGTGTCGGTGGGCTCGTT